AGATGGACTCAGAGGTTCATGTTAGACTTAAGCAACTGAGCACGGACTGTCAAGCAGCAGCCGATGATTGCTGGTGTCCTCCCTTTCCACCTCCTTACACACATGAACCCCCTCCTCATGTGCCTGGATCTTTATACACACACACACACACACACACACACACACACACACACACACATAGGAACATAGAGAGCGACACTAAGGGCAAAACAAGTTGCTGTTCTTCAGGTTTTGTATGCAGTTAGAGGCATTAGAGGGGCCAACCCACCCTAGTTCAAATACACACACACGTCACCCCAGTCCTTCCCAGAGTGCCTTTGTTCTGCCGATTGTTCTCTATGTGCGTCTGTGTGTTATAAGGAGAGAGAATCATGCCATACGAAAAATGACAACCAGTAAGGACTGTGCCTGCCAAAAACCTAAGAAGACATACAAAGCATGAGGTGTGGCCGGCTGCCTTTGAGGCTGCTGATGCACTCGGAACAGGAGGACATTTGTTTGTTGGGAACGTCAGAAAACCAAATTGAGATTGTGTTTGACTAAAGGGTGTAAATATCTATAAATATATAACGTTTTCAAGGCTGATACCCTTCAGAAATGTACGTTACGGGAATTAAAGATGACGGACATGTTTTTATACACCAGTAAAAGGCAGGCAGAGATGTACGAGTTCAACAATGTATGAATTCAGCTAAAGAGGGAGCAATTTTCTCGCTGTTGACCTTTGCTGTTTGATATAGTTTGTTTTTTTTCCCTTCCTATTTGGATTCTAGTTTATATTGTGGCCCCCTTGCCTCTGGACACGTGAAGGCCAGAGACAGATGGCGCCTTGAAAGTTTAGCAGGATGATTTTATTAGTATTTTTCTACAGCAGCACCTCCACCCGATCACTCTTCAACACACACACTGGATATTACAGAGACTGTTTGAGTTGAAGGACAGCAATAACAAACCAAATAAAAAGGATCAGAGCCACTTGCTGAAGCATTATGTTGGAGACAGAACCCTCCTCGTTCACAGTCCTATCCCTGTTATTGTAGATGGCTGTTTTGTTAATGAAGTGTAAAGTGTACATAAACGTATTGTATAAAAGGTCCTGGCTTCTGTACTTTCTTTGACATGTGCGCTGGCTGTAGTAAACTGTTGATTTGTCGATTGTTCTACAGCAGACCTTTGAGTCTGCAGACTGTGAAGGCAGATACGTTTCAAGACATCCTGATCAGTCTTTGTTTTTTGTGAACCTTTAAAAGATTATGGAAAGATTTTCATTAAAGGAAATGATCAGAAGTGGAGGATCACCCAATCTAGAAGTGATCTGGATCCAGGAATCTTTGGAAGGATTCTTTACAAATGTAAGAAAAGACTAAATTGGTCTTTACAAATACGTATCCGACGGAGTTAGTATTAATGTTGTCGAGAAAGCATCTCTTTCTGGATCCTGGGAATCAGTTAATGGGTGGTTTTAGCTTTAGCAAGAGTATGGAAGTGCTTACAACCTCAAAAGGTTTTATTTCAGAAACAGAGTAGAAAGTAGAAATCTTTTTATATTTACAGCTTATTTTGAATTGTTACACTATAAATGTTGTGGTTTGTAGTGAGCTTCACATTTTATCATAGCTGGAACCAACCAGTAGAGAATTTCAGGGGTAAATGTTTGATGGGGGTTCAAAATTTAGGAATATTCAAAATTGAGAATATTTGGGGTCTTGTAGATGTGTTTGTACATACCCAGCAACTCTGTTAACCTGCGAAGAGAACTCATGGATTGTTTCCAGCTTACCGTAAAGACGACCCAGGACTACACACCACCATCTGCTGTGATGCTGCTCTGCTACAGGTGCTGCAGACAGCTCAGAAGATCATAAACAATGGCGTGGAAGTCATTCTGCTGGACAAATTGTGTGATAACAAATTAAAAAGTGTTCTGCTTATAATTGTGTTCTGTTTAAATTTAAAACAAAAACACAGAACAACATTTGCACTGAATGATGAAGTTCCACAGGGTTCTGTCCTGGGACCAATTCTGATTACTTTATATTTATCCCTAAGGCAGTATTCTTGAGATTTTTTTTATTTATTTTTTTACCTTCCAATATATGGTACCGTGAGAATACCGTCCAATGGACATAAAAGTACTCTTCCAGCAATAAGTAGATTCCCAAAAACACTTGCCACGTTTCAACATGGCGTGCAGAGTGTCTTAAAAAAATTAGGAAACTGAAAAAGTGGATGACCAAAGAAGCCGAGACTGAAAAACGAAGCCCAGCTACAGGAGATAAACGGTATATAAAAGTCCTGACCTGAGAGTTTCATGTGGATCAGTGCATCTTCAGCTGATCTGGCTACTGAAGCATGACAAATTACACAAGAACTGGACTAAAAATCAGCAATCAAGATCGCAAATTTGTTGTGTTTAACATTGTCATCAGTACTTATGGAGGAGGTCAAAAGATAGGTATAACAATATCTACAAGCATCTGTAAAACATGCTGGAGGCTCTTTCATGTTCTGGGGCTGCATTTTAGCCAGTAGTGTTGGGGACCTTGTCAAAACTGACTCTGGAGCAGAACCTTGACAATAGTGAAGCCGTGTGGGATCATCTTAACATAGAACAAAAGATAGCCAACATGCAAAGAAGAGCTTCCAATGTCCTCAAAGAAGCCTGGAGAACGATTCCTGAAGACTACTTAAAGAAATTACAAGAGAGCTTGGCTAAGAGTTCAGGCTGTGATGAAGACTGCAAATGTATTTCTTTCTATGTGTCCAGATATTTCAATAAATCACTGCACCTATTTCCCATTTTCCCAGAGAAACATAAAGAAGTGGAGAGTTGCTCAGGGCTTTTGCACAGTTATGTATTTTAAATAAATAAATAGAGCCAATTTAGCTGGGACTGAGGAGGAAGGTTGTTGTTTATCAGTATAGTCTTTGTAGTACCTTAAACACACACACACACACACACACACAGTCATGTACATCCACATATTTACCCACACACAATATCCTTCTCACCGCATCCACTAAACCATTAACAGCTGCCGATTGCTACAAAACATACAAATGCGTTTTTCTAGAGTTTAAGTCAGCTGGTTTCTCAGATCATTAAACCAACATTGGATCCTGTGTCACAGCACCGAGCTGTGGCTTTCAGTCAGGTGGGACTCGGTGGAGCTTCAATTAATGAATTCACAAAATGTAAGAGAAGAGAAACAATAAACCAAGTGGATTCTTTAAAAAAATAAATAAATTGTTAAATTAAAAAATAATTGTTTTTATGATAAAATACACAATTTCTCGTACATCTGTGGACTGATTAATCGACTCGATTTGGATTTCTTTCCAGCTGCGCTGAAGCTGTAGCTACGTTAGCGATTGCGTCATTATTCTGCGACTACTCACGTGTTGACAACAGAGAAGTGCAGACTGGAAGCAGCTACTGATCAGGTATGTTTCTTTTGGGTCAGTATATGAACAGGGTCGACAGACTCGTCTCGTGGACCTTTAACCGGCGATGTTAATTTTGACCCACGGGTCCGTTTCTGTCACGTGATCTTTTAATTCGGCCTTGAAAGGCCGCTTTTCCCTCGGTGTGAGGACGCTAACCCTAAAGAAAAAGAAATGTTCTCCAAAGTTTTGCATCAAGGGACAGGAAAGGAGGGGCATCACCTTACACATAAGGTGAAAAAAAATAAGGATGAACCAAAATGTGTCTATCAAGTCAAAACAAGCTTACAATTCAAGCGTAAATGTAAAATCACAATGTAACAGGTGGAAAGCAGTCAGACTGAGACAGGATGTGAAATGGACAGACCCATTGTTACGGATGTCTGGTGGGAAGGAGTTCCTGAGGCTCTAGACCCAATGGTAGGAGATCTATAAGTGCAGATGTGTGTGTGGGCATGCAAAAGTTCATGCTGCCTACGGCCTTAAAGATATTACTACAGTATTTAAGTCAGTGGAGCTGCTGAAGGAGTGTGACGTAAATAATGGAGGGAGTTCTGGACCAGTTGAAGTTTAATGGGCTTCAATTTAATTAAATTCAGTTTTATTTATAAAGAGCCAACAACCACAGCAACAGTCACCTTAACTGACTTTATATTATATGGTAAAGATCCCACAACAATACAGAGAAAACCACAACAATCAGACAACCTCCTTTGAGTAAGCACTTGGCGACTGTGGGAAGGAAAAACTCCCTTTTAACAGGAAGAAGCCTCCAGCAGAACTAGGCTGGGGGGGGGCGGCAAAGTGTGATGCCACTGATGTGTGCTTGAAACGAAAGTGTGCTGTTAAGAACAACACCCAGACTCTTGACCTGTAGTGAGGCAGAAACTGAGGAAAAATTGTTACAATTTTAGACAAAGTGCAGTTTTAACACTGGTCAGTTTGATAAAATTGCAGAGTGCTGTTGGAGAATGAGGATTTGACTTCCTTGAGGCAAACACAGATGGCGCTGGGCACATGAGTGCTGCTAGGTTTGGTAGACAGGTGTCAGCATAACAATGGAAACTAATGTTAACTTTATGGAAGATATGACCGAGAGGAAGTAGAGGAGGATAAATAGCTGCGGGCCTAGGAGAGATCCATGAGGAACATTGTTAATAACTGAAAATGGACGGGACATTTTTGAGAGATGGGATTCAAACCAGTTTAAAGGTTTGTCAGTGATTCCAGTAGAAGCTAGTCTGTCCAGAAGGGTGTTATGAGATATAATATCAAATGCTGCACTCAGATCAAGAAGGTTAGTAGTCTGGAGTCAGCTCCTATGAGGTGGTCATTAGAGATTGTAGACACAGTGAGATGCTGAAATAGCCTTTCTCTGGAGTGAATGTTATTTAGATTAAAGCCACATTTGTCTTTGTTTGATTACAACCCTATGAGCAAACAGCTAATACCCCTTTTAAACAGAGGGTCTGAATAGTGGGTGGGTGAGATTTCCTTGCTTATAGAACCAGTAGATGCCTGAGATATCCCCCCTCTATGACCTTTCAAATATTCAATAGAAAAAGTGTTTGAAACTGAGTGTTTACAGCGGTCTGCTCAGCTTTGGCTGCTCAGGGATTCCTGAAACATACGCTGACAAATAATCTGCATTGTCCTGCTCCTTCAGCCATGAGCGACAGCGATGACGATGTTCCCACTCTGTCAGCTCACACTCTGGCCGCCCTGCAGGAGTTTTACAATGAAACGAAGGTTGTTACGGATCACAGCGCTGCACCCACAGACCAGTTTGCTGTGGGAGCCGTGGAGGAGGACTGGGTGAGTTTACGGTGTTTTGTGTTTATTTTTAAGAAGTTCAACAAGACAAACCATTAATAATCACAAGGATGACCAATTCTAAACCAAATTTGCACAAAAGAGTGAAACAGACCTTTTTATTTGGAGGGTTTAATTCAGCTCATTGTCAGTAAATCGCAGTAATGTGACGGAGTTAATGAAAAGTGAATGTCGGTAACAGATGTCTGTCTGTGCATGTCCACCAGCGGATGAGCCAGTTCTGGTACAGCGATGAGACAGCAACACAGTTAGCCGAGGAGGCGGTACGAGAGGCTGGAGAGGGAGGAAGGTAAAACCTCGCACTCCCACATGAACACGCTGCTCGGATGTCATTAGCTGTTTTTCATTTAGTGAAACAGGATAAAAATACGCTTGAGTTCTGTGATCATGTAGAATCGACGTTTGGTTTTGCTGATTGGCGAGCACTTTGTGCTTTGTGCCTCCTTTCCTCTCAGGATAGCATGCCTGAGCGCGCCCAGCGTGTACCAGAAGCTGAAGCAGGGTGTGGTGGACGGTTCAGATCGGGTGTCTGCCGTGGTGTTGGAGTACGACCGCCGCTTCGCCTCCTACGGAGAGGACTTTGTGTTCTACGACTACAACAAGCCGCTGTCTCTTCCGGACAGCGTGTCTCCTCACAGCTTCGACATTGTCCTCGCTGACCCGCCTTACCTGTCCGAGGAGTGTCTGAGCAAAGTGACCCAAACCATCAAATACCTGAGCAAAGGCAAAGTGCTGCTGTGCACAGGTGAGACCCAAACAAGCTCTGATGGTGGCACATAAGTAGTTTCCTCACAGAGAGAAGCCTCTGATCATCGTCTAACAACACAGTCTGTCTGTATGAGTCAAGAATAAATGCTAGCTTCTTTGATGTCACAATGAATGAGCGGCACAAGCTGCTAAAAAAAAACTAGATTAGATGTGAAATTAAGTATTAAACAGTTTGTTTTTTTTTTGGTGTGTTTTTAACATGTGGTGTTTGTGGTGTTTCTCAACAACAGGAGCCATCATGGAGAATCTGGCAAAAGATCTCCTGGATGTAAAAATGTGCAGCTTTTTGCCCAAACACAACAGGAACCTGTCCAATGAGTTCCGCTGTTTTGTCAACTACCCGTCCCGCCTGCTGTCCTGCTGAGGAGCCGGGCGTCCATCAGATCGACGCTTCGTTCCGAGCTCATGGAGGAGGGGCGACACATGGACGTTTTGCAGCGAAAGCCAGCCGCAAGACACGTAATTTTAAAGGGGGAACTCCGACCATCTCACATGAAGATCAGCGTTCTCTTCACGAATACACCGAGAATGGAAAAAAATAATCCCAGTGTCTCGCCGTCCTGATGTCTGGGCTTTGGTTTGATGACTGTAAGTTTGTGATTCAGACTGGTTGCTGGAACTTTTGAAGACATGGACTTTATTTCAAGACCAAAGGTTGAACAAAAAGATGATAAGAGGCATTATGGTTCATGTAAGCTTCAGTGTTTTTCATGGTTTATTCATACAAGAGACTGAAAGTTGGGTTAATCACTGTTTTTAAATGCTACACTGCTCGAGTAGCTTTTAAGTAATAAATCTGAAAGTCTAGTCCATCTCAGGTTTTGATACCAATTCAGAGCAGATTACTGTTAGTTATTTAATCTAAATCATGAAAGAGTTTTGGTCAGGTCAGCTCTGTCAGGTGGCAAAATGAGCGAGTAGAAGAAAAGAGTTCACGGGAATAGATCACCTCGTTCAGCAAACACCCAGAAGGGTGACGAGTACATCAGCTGTTTAGTATTAAAGAGGCAGCAGGAACAACTTTTATTTTTTCTAAAGAACGTTTATTTTCTAACCGCTCAGAAAGCTCAGCTGTTAAACAATTGGGCTCTACTGGGAAACATACAAGTGTTGTATGTTTGTACAGTTACCCAGATAAGTGAGGTAACAGTCGCATATATTTGATGTTTGCTGTTATTAAAGTGTCTGAGTAACATGAAGCGTGGGCTTGTTGCTCTGATCACCTGAGAAAGTTGCAGTTGTTGTACAGCAGCAGGTGGCAGCATTGATCAGCTCATTCAGAAGTGAGGCCCTCTGTTGTTGTTTGCTTTTGTTTTGAAAGGTCTGGATCACCTAAATAACAACTACCTCCCATTCTTTTTACTGCAGCTTGTCATGCAGAGGCAAAACTATCTGCGTTACTTGATATGAGAGTTGCTAAATAAAACATGTGCCTCTGTACTTTTGCCAGAAGCAGACCTTCAGTTTTTATGGTGTAGTATTTGTCAAAGTTTCATTCAGTTTGTTAGAAATCTGTGTGTGTATGTCCGATACACAGATGGTTGCGTTTTAATTCTGAACTCAAGTTCGAACTCAAAGGTTTGTCTTGCGTCGGTCGATCTGCCTGCTGAAGCTCTGTACTAAACTTTTCTTTTTAAGTGACATTTCCAGGGGCTTCAGTTTCAGACATAATGTTCTAGCACGAGCGAATCAGCTGTAAAAAAAAAACAAACAAAAGAAAACTTCTCTGCAGCAGCAGTCCTGCTTCCGTCAAGCTTCCTTTCTTGGAGTAAAGAGCTTCCTGGCTTTAGGCTCTCTCCTCTGCAGGCTCTGGTTGCTCTTCTTCGGCCTCTTCTCCAGCAGCGGCACACAGGTGCATCCCACGGCTATGGAGACGTAGATCTCCGTGTAAGAGTGGCGGCCGCCGACGCAGGAGCCTGTTCTCCTCAGGATGACGGAGGGAGCGTAGACCAGGGTGCTGCGATACTGACTGCTCTCCTCGCCGTACGGTCCGATCAGGCAGCCCTTGCACAGGCAGTAGGCCTCGGGGATGTAGCGGGGATATCTCTTTGGGTCGTATGAGATCCTGAAAATGTATTTAATGATGTTCAATGCACTGGCAGAAACAGCTTGGTACATGAACTGTATATATAAACAAGATATTTTTGTTTTGTACATTTTCCTGGGAAAAAAAGAACCATGCAAAATTTCTTGTGGCAAAATCTGAGCTCTCAGAGAACTTCTACTGATGCCATCCCTCCCTTTTCCTAATATATTGGATATTGGATGGAGCCCCAGCTGTTAAAGGGCAGGAGGCCTTACTAGAAAAGCAAATAGACTACAATAGTGTACTTCAAGAAAATTTGGGTGGCTATACCTGCACAAATATAACCTTCAGGGAACACTTAGTTCTTAAGTTCAACACAAGTTTGTAAATAAATCCTGAACAATCAGCAGCATGTTTTGTAGGCTGAAGAACTAACAGAACTTTGGACACAATAACTAAAAAAGGAATCTTGGAGGAAAATCTGGAGACAAAGGGACAAACGGAACTAAATGCACTAAATGCCTGTAAGACGTTTACAGAATGACTGCTGTAACAGGATAACAACACAGTTTACGCTTCCCGAGGGTCTAGAAGCAGAAGGTTTGGCCAGCATTCGTCCCAGAGCAGAGCGTGGAAGATGGCCCAAGAATTTCCCAGAGCTAGAAGCCTTCTGCGGGAACAAATAAATGCTCCAAACAAGAACTGAAAGGCTCAACTGCTACGCAAAGTGTTTCATAGAGCAGCTGTCATTTTGCCAAAGGAGGTGTTAATGCTTTGGCAGAAGAGATCATTGTCTCTCTTCTTTGCAGATGGTATTAATAAAGCAGTCTGGCTCAGATATTTAAGAAAATGTTACCGTTGACTTGATCCATTTACTATCACAGCTGTCATGGTGAAAGAGACTGGATTGGTCACTATTCACACCTCACCAATTAACCTAACCCATTTTTAGGCTGTGGGAGGAAGTCCGAGTACCCGGAGAGAGCCCATGCACACCAGAAAATACACTCAACAATCATCAGCTGTTAAATGTTTTTCTTTAATAAACCTAGTTTTTCTAAAAGGACAAAATCTGATATATCCAGAAATGTGGGTAGAACTTAAAAGGTTGAATTAAACATAAGAAACCGTGTGCATTGTTTAGCTGAGCTGCTGCGTTTCTGTCGCTTACATGAGATTAACATAGTACTTCAGCAGCCTGTTTTGATGTTTTCTGCTTTATGTCAAAGTCTGTTCAAAAAGTGTATTTCATGTATTTGTTTAGCATTAAAGGCAATCAGAAAGTTGCCGGTAGCCGTGATGATGTAGGTACTGTGAAAGCGCAACGCCTTTCAGGACTCAGGACACGTTTCAGGAAACATTTCATTTCACTGCGTGTTGTACTCGTGTAATTATGTATGTGACAAATAAAGAATCTTAAAATATCTAATTTAATTATACCGTGAATCCACGGCTGACAAAGTCTGTTCTGTTATTTAAATATAAAATATGTGAGCACGCACGGGTTTCTTTCTTCCAGTTGTTTCTAACTCATAATACATCCCAATAAATGTTTTTATCGCCGCCTTGTCGCTATTTTAAGCATAGCGGTGTCCAGCAGATATGAAACGTAAATGCTTTACTGGCACCGGATAAGTGTCCCTCTTGCTCTCACCTGTAGGCCCAGGGGGAGATGCTGAGCAGGTTGACCGGGAGGCGGGTCTTGCCGTCGGTCGGGACCCGTGCAGTGGTGGGGCAGGTGAGGTTAAGTTTGTCCTGCGGCTCCAGCTGCAGAGCGTGATGGAAAGCGCTCATTACTCCCACCGAGAGCCGTCCAAAAATCTCCTCCAACTTCTCCTCCGGCATGTCCAGGCAGGACCGCGTCCTGACGGTCTTGTTTCTGACCCGGGTCGTTGCTGCCGGCCGACACAGCGACAGCAGCAGTAGTAGCAGAACGTGGACTCTGTGGGGCATCTCCGCGTTTCTTCTCAGGATGTTGCTGTGCCCAAGTGCGCATCCACCGAAAAACGAACGTTTCCTTTGCGTTCTTAAGTAATGTGTCTGAGAACAAGTGACGTTTGTTCGTAAAAACAGATTTGATCGTTCACGGGTTACTTTCCTCTGTTAAAATCCAGCAAATAGTTGGAAGTGCTGGAAAGCCAGCGGCACGCACACGTTCCACGATCCTGGCGCTGAAGGCGAGGAACAGGCGCGCCACCAGGAAAACTGCAGAGACATTTTTTGTTTTTTGGCACTACACATCCACGGCGTCGCCAGGAGGAATAATTGCCAAATAATTTGAAATTTTCTAACAGTTTGTGAGTGTCACACCTGCTGCTTTGTGTCCATGACGAGAAGACACCACAGAGGAGTCTCTGGTTCTCATTTCTCCTGCGACGTGTGCGTAAAACCCCGACTGAGCGCTGAGGCGGTCTGATGCAGCAGCCAGAGAGAGGCTCAGTTACACTGAAGCACTGGCAGAAAAAAACAGTCCTGCCTGGACCCTAATAAAAAAAAAGAGCCCAGCGTTTATTAGAGGAGATCCTGATGCGAGTGGGAAGTCCAGCCTGTTGGATGTGGATCCTGGCTTTGCACCATCTCCACCCCTTAGACCAGAGGTGTCAAACATAAGGCCCGGGGGAGGCAGCAAAGACTCCAGTCCGGCCCACTGCTTTAGTAAATGTGACGGAGAGCTTACATTTCTGGACTTTTATATGTGTTTTCATAAGTTTTTTCATTATTGACTGTAAACTGAGATTTCTGTTTTTGTCACAATAAAAGAACATTTCCCGCGAGTTTAGTTTATAATTACAGGAAAGCCTGTCCAAGGAGCTGATTTTTTTCTTCTGTAATTTTACACATTTCTTACTGTTTAAGCCCAAACAGTGTGTCAGCATGACTGTTCTTTTATTTACTACAGCAGCTTTTGTTTACCGTGTGGAAAGACTGAGACAGACTGCTGGAACTGAACTTCTTTTTCTTGTAATCGGGGATTAAAAGTGTCGTTAAACTTCTTTACACTGACAAAAAGGGGAGTTCCACTGGTCCGGCCCACTTAAGATCAATGTGGGCTGCATGTGGTCCACAGTATAAAATAAGTTTGACATTCCTGCTTTAGATAACATGCAAATAGCTACGTAACAACGCTGCTAATGTCAGCTCTAGTTTTACCCATGCACTTTGTTTTAAAGTTTTAACAAACTGTCACATTGATACTCAGACTCAACATTATTTCCTTAATGAAATAGTTTCTCTTTTAATGATACAATAAACAACATAAAGACAAAGAAATAAAAAAATAATAAATACAATAGAATAATTACAAAATGCAGAACATGAAACAGAATCTGGAACAGATGAATCACAAACCTTTGCCTTTGAAAGCATCAGAACGGTGAAATGTTTTCCAATTTTTAGCAATGAGCTCAAAGATACAGGGTAATAGTATGGTATGGAATAGTATGTCCTTTTCTTTGAAACCCCGTGTGCTGGACTTAAGAGCCAGAACAAAGCTGTCTGAGGTGTCTCACACTGTCATGTAACCAGCATTCCTATCACGTACAGAGGCATTCATTTCCCACACGGACATTTAGAAATGGATACATTTTCATTTATCAAAGGATTGAGATGTCAGGTAAAGATGTTCAGTGTGAAAGAGCATCTGGACCATCATGGATTACCAACAGATGTAAATAAACATCTGCTGAGTATGAGTTTAAAACATCCTGTGGTGAAGCTCTGGGCTCTTGACTTACAAACAGAGATAGCCTTGTGCTAATGCAGCTACTCTGGCAGCAGGTCGTCTCCTAGCTCTTCATCTGCAAAGTCGTCATCCTCCACACGTTTCTTGACTCCCGTCTTTGGTCTGTCCATCTGAGGCCCCAGTGGGTCCACGTAAGACGCATCTACACACAGGAGGAACAGCTTGTGATGAAATAGTTTGGGACGCTGTATCCCAATAGAGACATAATGTCAACATTGTACATCCTTTCTACCAATGCCGTTCTTTTTCTGTGTGTGTTTTTCTCAAGGAGTGCTGCAGAGTGAGATCGTGTGCACAGACAATTTCACTGCATTTTTTGGCATTCTAAATAGATGAGTTAAGATAACTTTCAACATTTAAGTCTGCACAGGTTCATATTTTAAAAACACTGATATAAATATTACTCTGTTCCATTTTTAAACAGCTGCAATGAATTGCATTTAAGGATACATTGTTCAAGTTGTTCTTTTCCCTTATACTCAGTGACCCTGCTCTGTTCGTGGTGTGTCACTGCTTGGCTGAGTTGCTGCGGTTGCTAAACGGACTTGTTGCAATGGTGGCATCCTATTACAGTGAGCGCTTTAGAACGTCTCATTCATGCACAAATGTTTGAACAGGCAGGCTGCACGGCCAGGTGCTAGATTTTATACATCTGAGACAAAGGGACTTACAACACCTGAATTCAAAGATTAGAGGTGCGGCCCAATACTTAAATGACAACCCATGCAGTTTATCTGCAGAGGACTATCCGCTGTGTTCTGCAGACAAAGAAAAACCTTTGATAATATCTTTATGATCATCTAAACCTCAGAATGTGTTTCAACATGGGCTTGAACTCTAAATAGATACACGAATACAGCTCTTTTCTACTTTACTGGACCATTCAAAGACCTTTATAGAATTCAGTCACCCATTCACACAAGCACTTTTTTCTATGCCTGAGTGCTTTTCGATCTTTTCCTATCTAACATTCACACTACAGCTCACTGCGACTCATAATGTGGATGGCTAAATTATCAGAATTCCAGCCATCCATGTAGATGATGTTCCAGCACTAAACGAAATGAAACTGCACTAAGATGTCCATAAACCATCTGTGTGGTTATATATTTACTCATATTTTTCTAAAACAGGCACGTATGTCTTGCACAACACATGAAGTTCAAAGACATAAGATAGTTAGGTAGGTGTTATATCATTAACTGCAGAGAAAAATATGGTTTCCTCACCCAGTTCTTTTGGACTGCTGGCTTCATAAGGTTCATTTGAACCAGGAAGTGACCTCATTTTGGCGCTCAGACGCTCTCCTTTGGTGCTGCTGCTGCTGCGACCACTGTCTGTACAAAAACAAGCACACACCTGCTGACTCATGATCTTTTTTAAAAGCAATACTCACATTCAAAATCCTATTAAAAGCTGTTTAAATGTTTAAGCTGTTTAAAACAGCAGTGCCTCTGTCTGTGGCCTGCATGTGACTGAATATAGACGTGCAAAGTTTTCTTGCACACTTTCACGTACAAATGTCTTTTTCATGGCCCAAGTATCTCGCTGACATTGGCTGAATGTGTGCAGAAAAAGCATTCCTCCAATGTGAAATCACAGTCACTAAATATCACTGACATGTACGACTTGCTGTACAATAATGGACGATTTTTGTGAAAGGCATGGCGCGGTCGAACATGCCTACTGACCAGCTGCTAAAATGCAACACTAATATGCAACACACTCAGGTACTTTTGACAGGATGTAATGAATATGCTGGATAATGTGCACGTGTGTGTTCCAGGCTTATATGACAGGCTGACAGGGGCGTGTAGTGATATGAATTACAGACATGACTGCAGACAGCAGCAGCCAACATCTGGCTGCCAGGTAGCCTTGGAAACCTTAGGGGATCGGCAGCAGAAAGCTGAAAAACAGGAAGGAGGCCTGATATTCCACCTTCCCCTCATAGTCCCAAAAAAATCTCACAAACTGCTGGCAAACTGAGACCTCGGTTGGAAAAATCAACGTTTCCCCCCTGCCTTCCTTTCTTGGACAGTCTCGTTTGCATTTCTCTTTTAGTTTACACAACACATGCTAGAAGCTAGGAGCTGCAACAGAAGTTTCCACAATTAAAGACGTTATAGGCCTGTTTTATACACCTCTGAAACACAAAAACCCTTTATTTTTGCAAGGAGATGGAGATCAATAGAGATGACGCAACTTTCTGGCTTTTAACTATTTTTTCTTATTAAAGATATGTTGAAAAAAAAGTTCAGGTACATTAACCCAACCATATCATTTACGTTTGAAAAGGCACATCACACATGATAGAAAACACAGGTTAGAAAATCCCCACGTTTCGACACACTTCTCTCCTGTTCTGCCACTGCGTTTCACCAGATTCAGACTGCAGAACGACAGCTGTGGAAACGTGAGAAAACAAACCACCAGACTCACACGTCAGTCACGAGAGAGCCGAAGACCTGCAGACACACGAGACCACACAATACGCAGACTTTACAGAAAAGATGGAAAACTCTCAGGTGAACGAGAGGGTTTTCCCCGAATATCTCGGAGCCGTCTGAGTGCTCGCTCCCCTCCTCCTCCTCCTTTCAGTGCAAAAAATGAGCACAGTCCAACATCACGGCTGCCTGTCAAACGATTTCTGGATCAGGTCCATTTTTTCTTCTTCACTTGGGAAACTCACTTCTGCTATGCGTGCCTTGCAGTGCTTCACTCAGATGGTTTTAATCACTTAAAAGATTTCTAATGACAGGAGCTCTTATAAAATTAAAAATAAAATAGGTCTGATGCTAATGCTCCGTAGAAGAGAATCACCTGTATGTGCAGACACCTTTGCCTGACTGAAGAACTTTATCAGAGGTCATCTTAAGATTTCACAGCAGAGACTCACAGTACAAACCTAAACATGCTGTTGCTGCTACACAGTTTCCCATAGTCTAATTTATGTGAATTTTACTGTTTTGGCTCTTAAAGCTCATTGGCAGGTGAGCTGACTGTGCATTTGAGGGCAAACTACAGATGTAACAACTTCTGAAACATCTCTACTCTCTAAGATTAGTAGATTACTCTCTACTTTTAAGATTAGGCTTAAAATGTTCATTTTTGCTAAAGCATATAGTTAGGGCTGGACCAGGTGACCCTGAATCCTTCCTTAGTTACGCTGCAATAGGTGTAGGCTGCTAGGGGATTCCCATGATGCACTGGGTATTTCTTCTTCAGTCACCTTTCTCACTCATTATGTGTTACTGGACCTCTCTGCACTGAATCATACTTGTTATTAATCTCTGGCTCACAGATGGCCGCCCCTCCCTGAGCCTGGTTCTGCCGGAGGTTTCTTCCTGTTAAAAGGGAGTTTTTCCTTCCCACTGTGGCCAAAGTGCTTGCTCATAGGGGGTCATATGATTGTTGGGTGTTTCTCTGTATGTATTATTGTACGATCTACCGTACAATATAAAGCGCCTTGAGGTGACTGTTGTTGTGATTTGGCACTAGATAAATAAAATTGAATTGAATTGAATGAACCGATCAAACAAACAAGCCCCAGTTTATTCAACAATCTCCTTGTTTGACTACAAATGGCCAGAATTACAGGCACATAGCCTGAAAGTCACAGTCTTACATACCTCTCCCCGAGTCCAGCAGTGGATTGAAGTGTTTAGACTCAGACTGAGATACTGGGAAGCAAAGAGGAAGCAGAGAGGGAATACAGATGAAGACAGAAGATCCAGAGAAGAAGATGAGAAGGAAGGAGAGATTACAGAGCTAGACTGAAGGTCTTACAGCACA